AGGCGTTCGTCGTCATTCAGCTTCGTCATGGTGCCCAACGCAATTTCGCTGAACACTAACTGCTTCATCCGCGTCATGCGCCGCACGACACATGGATATGCACTTGTTCTACGCACTGTTGAAACCCCGTGATGGACAAAGGGATTTGTAAACGTTTGCTAAGAGTAATGTAACTGCCAGGAGAACACTGCTTAACCAATAACGCGGCGCAGAGCACAGATATTGTCCGCCACGGCTCAGCACGAGACCTGGGGAGGCACACATTCCTCCGCCAGCCGCGGCCGCTCACTGCTAGACCAGCTCCACTGCGAAACACGTAACCATAGCAACGCCGCCATTGTGCCTAGTGAATATGGCCGCCATGATGTCATTTCCGCCACACTTTTCACGACCCGATGATAGTTATAGCGCGAGAACAAAACGACGACACAGAGTCTCTGTGTCGTCGTTTTGTTCTCGCGCTATAACTATCGTCATGCCATACCAACTAGCCCAAGCTGCCACACTTCTAAGTTATATTTCACGCCCCGCGCCGGCTGGGCATGCCCTCTCCTACCTTTCCTTCCTCCGTGAGGCAAATGTGTGTACTACCCATCATTCTCATGGTCGCTGAACGATCGCAGCGTCAGAGTGCCCTCTAGTTAATTTTGAGAAACTCTATGGCTGGTACCGCCCCCTGCCGTGATAATAGTTAAATAGTCTCGGTCGCGAGCGCCACCGCGCGGCGCTTGCTTAAAGCTGAAGGCAGGCCAACTTCGTTGGGAGCGCGAGCCATTCCTCAGGCATTGTTTAGAGGAGGCGTTGGCCCGGCTTGATCCCTCGCGCCTCCTCGCGTATGCCCCTCCGACGCCGACGACGAGAAGCGCTTTTGACGCGTAGACGCGAGCATACGCGTGCCAGTGGTTGGCACTTTAAACTCGAGCGCCGCAACGCAATGAGAGCGACGTTCATTCAGCGATTTCGATGTTCAGTTATATGCGTATGCTTGTTAGCTTTCAAGAGTCTTTACACATGGGTTGAAAGCTTTCGATATGTATGAGTGACTTGTTTTGTTCAGACCCGACCGTATACATTGATTGTACCGGCTTGGACACTCGCAATAAACGATGCATACCTTACTTGAGTCAGTCAGTCAAGAACTTTAATATATGGTCCTGAGGAGTTTAAGCCACCAGGGTGCCCACGTGGGACATCCTAGCAGCCGCTACCGTAGGCGACGCCCGAGTCGGGGCGGGAACGTGGTGGCGTTCCGCCAGTTCTTGGGCCCTCTGGACTGCCTTACTTGATTGACGTTGTTTTTCCCAGTCGAGGCCAGCTAGGTCCCCTGGTGATAATTACAGACGCGAAACGCAATTGGGCAACAAAAAAAAAAAAACAGAGGAAGCGAGCAGCGCGAACCAGCCGCAGACCCTCCCACCTGCAACAAACAAAAATGCGTCTGCTTATTGATGATGTTAGTACTACTAGCGCCATCTCGCCTCGCGGTATTGCAGTTCAGTACGCCGCCTCTACGTATTTGCATGTTATTTTGATACAACAGCCTAAAGGTACAGTTTCCGTTCTCTAAGCTGGTAGGCGTTCTGAACTTCGCTGGTAGGTGTTCTGTGACCTGCCCAGCTGGAGGCGGTCTACGGAGCTGCCTGCGCTGACTCGGATTCTGAACTTCGCCGCCTGGGGACGCTCGAGTTACCCCAGCTGAGCGCCGGTGAATGCATGGGTTGCCGCCGGTTAGAGAAGAGTTGCATCACGCATTGAGTAAATGTGTCGGCTATCTTGAATCATTTTATTTCATGTGACTTTGCGAATCTTCCTTTGCATTTTAGTTGACATTTCAGTGCATTATTTTTCAAATAGAATCGCAAATCAGGTACAAACACATGTATCAGCGTGCAAAACAAGAAAAAATGACGACGTAGACAGGTTGTAAAAAGCGCTGGCCACCAAATGTTTATTTAACTCATGATACCATCTATATGTGTATACAGTGGTAGACTTGTTGCCGTTGGATTACACTCAGCTTGCTTGCATTTACTGTCTGGGCAAGAAAGGGCAAGGATTATGAAACTTGACGGTGTCCGCGGCATCCAGCGCGCATAGAAAACAACCCAATACAGATAATTTTGCGCATAAATACCTTCGTACAGGAATTCAGAGTGTCGCTGCAGCACAGGTACTCGGCTCTTAGTGAGGAAACCAACCTTAGCGTAGATACAATGAATGATAATCTGACGAGTATCATTACGGAGTGTGCAGTGGAAGTTGGAGGCAGGGTAGTTAGACAGGACACTGGCAAGCTTTCCCAGGAAACGAAGAACCTAATTAAGAAGCGTCAAATCATGAAAGTGTCAAGTACAACAGACAAAATAGAACTGGCAGAGCTTTCGAAGTTGATTAATAGACGTAAGGTATGCGATGTAAGAAGGTATAACATGGAGAGAATTGAACACGCTCTGAAAAACGGAAGTGTCAAAGCATTGAAGAGGAAACTTGGGATAGGCAAAAGTCGGATGTATGCACTAAGGGACAAAGAAGGCAAAATAACTACCAATATGGATAGGATAGTTAAAATAGCGGAGGAGTTTTACAGAGATCTGTACAGTAGCCGAGACAACCACGACCTTAATACTATAAGAACTAGCAGTAACCCAGATTACACTCCACCAGTAATGATAGAAGAAGTCAGAAAAGCTTTGGAGAGCATGCAAAGGGGCAAAGCTGCTGGTGAGGATCAGGTAACATCAGATCTGCTGAAAGATGGAGGACAGATTGTGTTAGAAAAACTAGCCACCCTGTTTACGAGGTGTCTCCTGACGGGAAGAGTACCAGAGTCTTGGAAGAACGCTAACATCATCTTAATACATAAGAAAGGAGATGACAAGGACTTGAAGAATTGCAGGCCGATCAGCTTGCTCTCTTTAGTATACAAGCTATTTACAAAGGTAATTGCTAACAGAGTAAAGAAAACATTAGAATTCAATCAACCAAAGGAACAAGCAGGATTTCGAACAGGCTACTCAACAATTGACCACATTCATACTATCAATCAGGTAATAGAGAAATGCTCAAACCAACCACTATACATAGCCTTCATAGATTACGAGAAGGCGTTTGATTCAGTAGAAATATCAGCTGTCATGCAAACACTGCGGATTCAGGGCGTAGATGAAGTATATATAAACATTCTGGAAGAAATCTACAAGGGATCAACTGCTACCATAGTGCTTCATAAAGAAAGCAACAGAATACCAATCAAGAAAGGTGTAAGGCAGGGGGACACAATATCCCCAATGCTATTTGCCGCGTGCTTACAGGAGGTTTTCAGAAGCCTAGAATGGGAACAGTTAGGGATAAGAGTCAATGGAGAATACCTTAGTAACCTGCGCTTCGCCGATGACATTGCATTGCTGAGTAACTCGGGGGACGAATTGCAACTCATGATTATGGAGTTAGACAAGGAGAGCAGAAAGGTGGGTCTTAAAATTAATCTGCAGAAAACGAAAGTAATGCACAACAACCTCGGCAAGGAGCAGCGCTTCGAGATAGGTAATAGTGCACTTGAAGTTGTAAAAGACTATGTCTACTTAGGGCAGGTAATAACCGCAGAGCCGAACCACTAGATTGAAGTAACTAGAAGAATAAGAATGGGGTGGAGCACATTCGGCAAGCACTCTCAAATTATGACAGGTAGATTGCCACTATCCCTCAAGAGGAAGGTATATAACAGCTGTATCTTGCCGGTACTTAGCTACGGAGCAGAAACCTGGAGACTTACAAAGAGGGTTCAGCTTAAATTGAGGACGACGCAGCGAGCAACGGAAAGAAAAATGGTAGGTGTAACCTTAAGAGACAAGAAGAGAGCAGAGTGGATTAGGGAACAAACGGGGGTTAAGGATATCATAGCTGAAATCAAGAAGAAGAAATGGACATGGGCAGGGCATGTAGCGCGTAGACAGGATAACCGCTGGTCGTTAAGGGTAACTGACTGGATTCCCAGAGAAGGGAAGCGGGTTAGGGGGAGACAGAAGGTTAGGTGGGCAGATGAGATTAAGAAGTTTGCGGGTATAAATTGGCAGCAGCAAGCACAGGACCGGGTTAACTGGCGGAACATGGGAGAGGCCTTTGTCCTGCGGTGGACGTAGTCAGGCTGATGATGATGATGACCTTCGTCTCAAATGGCAAATTTAGATTGCAGGTACATGAATAATCAATTAAAGACACTCTGCAATCGTTTTGAAACGAAACAGCACTTAAAATAAAGTATTCAACGCTAATTCTTCCCACGATGGGTGTGTTTGAAAACCTAGTTGCATAACCACATGTAGTGACATGGTTTCCATATGTGCACTCATGTCATTTTTCTGTTTTTTTGTGTCAATAAACAGTTGGGTATAGCGCGTCGTCGTTTACTTTCTTGAGGTTGTCGGTTTATTTATTTATTTTTTTGCGCTAATATGCGTTTCAGTCTGTCATGCACCACCAACCAGCCCAGCAACTCACTCTTTTAGAGACACGTAGTCCTTTACAACACAGAAATCATCTTGATCCATTTTTCATGAACCTCGGTCACTGGAAACTCATGAAAAGTTACATCAGTAGTCTTCCCTTGCCGCGGCACACCACCATCGTGATGGTTAATTTGCACCGAGAAACCTCGCTTGGCTGGTGTACAAACTGCACCAAACTGCACGCTTCGGTCGCAGCTCGTGCTGCGACAGGTACCGAAAGATCGACATTATACTTTTAAGCTTATTCAAAAGAGGTTTTTATCCATTTTAATTGTCCAGAGTGTATGCACGCGTAAACATTGCCGCTTCTCTCCCAGCTTGACGCGAGCAGACTAAAAAAAAAAAAAAAAGCGCGGCGACCCATGTTTTGGCCGCCAGCAACCGGTGCGGATGAGGTAAGTTGCAGCGCCACAGGGCGCATAGCGGCAGGCATTAATGCCAGAGAGGGCGTGCTGGCGCTTCGCTAGCTGGGCAGGTCAGTAAATTCAGAAGGTCGTGGGCATGTGACACTAAAATATTGTATGCTATAGATCAACACATCATCAATTGTAACTTTGATAAACTTGAGTATAGCACTAAAAAGTTGTATTAGAGCTTTGTTTGGAAAGGATAAAACAAGTGGCTTCGACTGGCTACTGCGGCAGTGACCTCGCTCGCATAAGCAACCGTGATCACGTGCCACTGCCACATTCCATTCTTGCGATCGCCGAGGTAGGTGACGGACGCATGTTGTACGTGTTCCCGAGATTGTGCTATCCCTAACGCCCTTGTGGTCGAAGCTGTGACCTTTGCTGGTAAATTCGACGTTACTTATGTTCCCTTCCATGTTTTGTTTTGCAGAGTACCTACGCCGTTGTCTGAAAGACTGAGGACTTCGAAAATTGACCCAGAAAAGCTTGCGGTGTCACCACGAAAAGAAAAAAAAAAGAACATTTCCTTTGAACGCCTTGGAGACCCCTGCTCTTCTGAACTAGACGCGGTCTCTTTCCTGTTCGCGGGCTGTATAAAGGCAACGCCAGCATTAAACAGATCGCGTATTCATAAATATACCATAAATTATAAAAGGTACGCATAGTTTTGTTCTCTGTGTGTCGTAGGAAATTATGAAAAAAAATTGCATGGGCAATTAAACGATGTCGTGACTATAACTCGGATGTAATGCATGGCAAAGTAACGAAATAACGCGTGAAGGCCGCGTCTCCCAGCTTGCCAGCTAGGGTTCCCACGGAGGCGGTCACGTAATTAAATGCCTGATAGTAAAGTAAACGACAGCGCATGCACGCTGAATAAGATTTTTTCATTGGATCAATTCTATTCTCCGTGCAAACATAGAGCTCGTGGCTAAAGCGTGTGTGATGCTGCGTCATCGCTAGTACTAAAATGGCGGCAGTTGACGCCCTTCTATGCTATTGATGCCTTTTGTTCCAAGATGGCGCGGCCGCAAGCATCATGACACTCGTGAATAGGCCGCGTGTGGCCTTCTTGGCACCTGCGTATGCGGGCTAGTTAAACGCTGTTTTTCGAAATAAGTCACTAAGGGCTTATTTAAGATATGCTATTTTGTCACCACATGAACGAAGGCGTTAATTTTACGTACTAACGTGTCGCTTCCGTCTCTCTTCCAGTATGTGGACTATGTTTCAGAACGCCAGCTGATAGACGAGTATTCGCGTATCCTGAAAGCGAAATCTGCGATGGTAAGTCATTTACTACACTTCTGTTTACAGCTTCCGCGGCGGCGTTGCTCGTGCTAGCTCGTCGAAGCGGGCGTGTAGGGCGACTGCCCTTATCCTTATGGCAGCCTTGGATCATTTCTTTGTGTGTTACCTGTGCCACACAATGCGGCGTGTACATTTCGGTAAATTAAAAAATATATATATGTATAGTGTGATGGCAATTATTTAAACGTTGGTAATATATGCAATTATATTGTGCCGCCGCCTCGGAGGTCCAGGTGAGGTTTTTTGTTGTGTAGAGCAGCAGGCAAAACACGTCGGTAGGACTCACTCTCGAAAAGGACAGCGCACCCACTTTTTTTTATCGCAACCTGTGCCACTGGCCATGCATTTGACCCACTACTATGGGTGGCATTATTCCCCCCTTCGCAAAATGGAGCAGCACCTCGATTCTCAAGGAGAGGTGTGAGGGGGAAAAAATGGAAATCGCCCTGCTTAGACAAAGCAAAAGTGCAAAAATGGTATGCCCCACACTCCCGAGTCAGGGACTGGTGAGGGGATGTCACTAACACAAGTAAAAGAGAAAAAATAAATAAATGAGCAAAAAATGCAATAAATGAGCAATTATGAGCACACAAAATAGGGCTTTGTGTGCACAGTGTGAACAATATCAAAGCTAAGTTTTTATTGTGTTCGTGTATGCCACGCAGTGTCCAGAACCACTTTGTAGGCTACGCCACTCACGCGGCGTAGCACTTCATAGGGACCAAAGTACCAACTAAGAAATTTCTCAAAGAGGCCGCGGCGACGAATAGAGGTCTGTACCCAGACATTGTCTCCTGGACTGTAGGATGCATCTCTGTGGTGGGGTGAAATTGCATTGCATATTTTGTTTGTAGTCTTGAATGTAGGTGCAAAATAGGCAATTCATGCCTCCTTGCTTGGCATTAAGTAGTACAGTGGTCTGCTTTTTGAAACTTGGTGCAAGCAAAATTAAAAAGGTCCATTCTTCATGCACTGAGGCTTTGCAGTGTGTTGCTATGTAATTCAGCTATTTTTCCCTGTGTTTCTCTTTAATCTAATTGCTGACACTTCTTCAATATGTAACCTGCAGTGATGTGCTAACTTCTGGCTGCTTTCTAAGAGCCTCATAAGCTTGATTTAAGAACAGTTTATAATGGACACTGCATACACTAGTTACACATGCATCTGCTAATGGCTGCTTCACTGCCATTAACTATCTTAATCATTAGGAAGGCTCAAAGGGGCACTAAAAGCTGCTCGATTCACCTTGGGCATACAAATTACCCTTCGAACTTTCTCGCTGCACTGATTGGGTCGTGTATAATTGATCACAATATTACTTACATTTTGTCTTAAAAGTAGTCAGGGGCTTAACATGGGAAGTTTCAGGAAAGTATTAATTCTGTGGGACCAAATTTGTAACATTTGACTAACATCAAATGCTGTGGTATCTCTGTGGAACTAAAAAATTAAAGTATGTTTACTTCCCTTGTATAATACCGAACCTATGCTTTCAAAATTACAGTCCAGTCGCCAAAGCATGATTCAACAGTCCAGACTAATACAGCATTTCAATTTAGTGTGCCCTTTGTACGTGTTTACGAACTTGCATGGTCTGGCATTACAAACTATTGTAAAGTAACAAGTCCCGTTCAACATATACACCTTGCATACTTATTAGCTGGCCATACTATGCGTCAACATTGGCTATGTGCTCTAATAATTTAATACAAGATTACCAGAATTGATGGTATCAGCTGGGCTTTTATTAGAAGAAAAAAAAGGACACTACCTTGGCTTCTCTGGTGCAGCTCTTTTTATAATGTTCTTTTATATAGTTGGTAATTATATATTTTAATAAGATTCTGTTTATGAAAACCAAAGGGATAATTTTTGTTGTTCAGCTGTATTATTCACACATCGTTTTGAATGCAGTGAAGGACTTGCTGAACCTGAAGCATTGCTAATGGTTTAGGTTAATGAATTGCAAAATAACACAGTAATAAATATTTGTCATTTTACATTCACAAGTAATATTGTAGACCTTGTAGCGCTCTTTTCACACTGTATTGCTGCGCCTTGGGGTGGCTAATTTCGAGAGTATGCACGCGCAAGCTACCTCTTCTACCTGCTGGTCTCCTTGTTCACTTGCTTCAACTGTGTAAAAGCAGAATGCAGCATAAAGCACGGTGTGTCACTTCCACAGTTACGTAAAAGTGCCCAAGCAATATTGTGATAGAAATGCCCTGTTGGTACTATTCAAGTGTCTTTGTACTGATATCTCCTAATGCTTTCACATAAATTATTAATGGCACCTTGTATTCCCTCCCACATTTCGATACATGTCCAGTTAAAACGAGCAAACTGCAGAGTAGAAAAGGCTGTGCATGTAGTGTACGTGCTCTTTAACTTAACCGTGAAGTTTTCGGAAGGCACAGCTATGCAGTTTGGCACACACTCTCATGTTCTCTAGGATTTCTCGCTACTGTACTTGTGTTGGTGGTTAATCAACTGGTGAAAGTTGCATGCATTGGCATTATGATCAAAACACTTAAGTAGACTTGGCTAGTTGGTGCAGGGGTTGCTAAACATGGTTTTATGTTTCCACTTCACATGGGACATATTGGAATGTGCGTACGCCCGTGTGCTCAGATTTGGGTGCACGTTAAAGAACCCCAAGTGGTCGAAATTTCCGGAGCCCTCCACTACGGCGTCTCTCATAATCATATGGTGGTTTCGGGACGTTAAACCCCACATATCAGTCATCAATTATATGGTGGTTTTGGGACGTTAAACCCAACATATCGATCATATATTGGAATGTGCATTGCAAACACCAAACTTTTACTACATATATTTACTACACGACAATACTTAAGTAGGCCGAGACTAAATTATCATCACAAAAACATGTTAGCAGCTATGTGAATCATATATTTGTAAGCAAGTTACGTGATTTCAGATTTCAGTCTCCCAAGTTTAATGTTAGTCACCTGAAACACGCCAAGAACTTGCATGCCATACTTGCTGCCTGTACAAAAACTGATAATAGTACTTGTAGTAACTTCTACGCAGCATTTTATCAGTAGTGTGTTTTGCAGAATATTCTTAGATTTAATGACGTGCATGTTTGCAGTTGCACTGGTGCATTACTATATGACACAAGTGTATTCCTAGCGCATTACCAATCAGTCAGTGTCCTTATGTTTAATAGGATTCATGCAGAAATTCTCAGAAAGAAGGCATCTTCACATGATATATATATATATATTGAAGTTTTGGGCTTTTAGTCTTCTGGTGCCTTTCTGTGTCACTTTTTATTTACAGATAAGTTATTGCACTTCTTGCATTTTATTTTATTGAAGCACAACCTTCCTTAAATCGCATTTAAATTGAGCGAAGCGCACGACATGCACAAATGGTTGACCTATGCAGGGTAGATGAGCTTCACTTTAGAAGAGCCAGTATTGGTCGCCAGATTCTATACGCTTGCAGTCATTTTTGTGCAAGTTTTGTGTGCTTAATTTTTTTAGGCATATATAAGTGAATCTACCATATTTCATTGTATTGGCTGTCTAAATGTAGTCCTTGAGTGAACTCTTTCATAATTCTTTAGTTGCATAAACTGTGGAACTTGCAATAATGTGGCTGCCAAAATTATCAATACACTTCAACATGTGGAGCAATGGGATGCATAGGGATAACATGGGATGCATCATGAGGAATGCAGAAACCAGCTCTCCTCCATCGCAAACATTTTATTCCACAATCCACTCGGGCGAGGGTCTTGCATACCAGATGATCAGCTGCACATAAAGCAATTAGGTAGTCAAAAGAGTATGCACGCACATGCTACCTTTTCTAAGAATGCTTCAGTAGTGAGTGGGTACATCACTAGATTCGGTTATTGTTGGCATGCAGATATTCTACTGGAGCTATCTTACAGGCCTCTGCGCTTTTTTTTTACTCTGCTATTTTGTAGGTCGTTTATCATGTTAGTACTTTTACCGGGTTACCGTGCATGTGTGGTTCTACAGGAATTGCTGCAGCATAGTCTTTGCAAATTCTGTAAAATCTGCAAGTATTTGCATTCATCGGTGGCTTGGCAGTTCTATTCTTTACTGTACTTAGCAAACACATTGTATGCCCCGTGAAGCTTAAAAGCTGGCATTCATTGTCGTTCCGTCTTACGACAAGAAAACTTGTAAAAAGTTTGCGATTATCACGTTGCTTTTGCTGCCTCATCTGAAAATTTACTTTCCCCACGTTCAAGATTGACTTGGCCCACTACTGAAATTCGCTTTGCCAAAAGTGAGCGCATGACCGTAGCAGCGACAGTAAAAAAAAAAGTTCTGCGTTACATGCTTAAAGCAAGTATGGCAAACCAGCGCTGGTAAAAAAAAAACATTAGTTGCGGGCAGTTTCTCATGAACACACGCTATGGGCTTTTTCGTTATTGCGTTTTAATTTGTTTGCATGTTTTTGATATATTGAATTTTATACTGTGGTCTCGTAAACTTTTCATGGCTTTACCTCCGATTCGGTTAGGCGCCTATTGCTCACACAGCCGGGAATTTCTACCGTCTCGTCTACGTGACAACTACGTCAGGCAAGAGCCCTGACGTAGTTGTCAAAGCACTGTTTACAGTTGCCTGAAACTGTTAGGATTTGCAACCAATTCAACGTCACTGAGATAAGTTCTCAACTCTGTTTAACAGCCACACACTTATAGTGATTGCAGACTTCAAGCAATGGTAGTGAATTTATGAATACATAATATCCATTCAATTTTGACATGTGATTCTGTTTCCTATTCTCTGGGAACCAGCGCCACCCTAGCAAAATTTGCCTTACGATATGATCTGCTCGCGTGGGCTGTTCTGTCATGGATTATTTTTTTTTTTTTCAAATTAACTGCAGTGCAGTAAATTAATATCTGGACAAACTTTCAAAAAGCGCTGGTGCAGCATTATGCAAGCAGCCTTTCGTGTGTGAAT